CAACCCTTTTTTAACCATTTTTATACCCTCCACCATAGTATGGAGGGTATATTAATTTTGTTTTTCCGTTTGTAACTCATCGAAATAATCATTTCCGATCCTATAAATTATATATATTCTTGATCAACGTAAAATTCTATGACGATATAGCCATGTTCGTCGGTCCGTCCCTCTGTCTGTTGTAATCACCCTAGCGTCTAAACGAATTGAGATAGATCGCAAAAATTTATTTTTTCTGCAGGCAGGTAAAGTTCGATGATAGGATATATCGGTCCACGTTTAGGCATAGCTCCCATATAAGGGTACCCCCCAATTTTCGGTATTTTGGGTTTATTGAGCGCATTTTTTAACCAAATTTGCTGCAATTTGGTATTAATATTAATATTCGCCCCATTTTTGGGGTAGTCTCCATATAACCCCGTTTTTTATATTTAAATAGTTATCTGATTTGTTCTCCTGCGGAGGATAGCGAAGTACGAAATTATAACGTAAGGTTCGATAATGAACTATAGCCGCATTTAGACCTAGCCCCTGTGTGGAGGTTCCAGAAGGAGTGGACCGATATTCCCCATCTTTGAATTTGAACTAAGTTTGGACGAAATCTAAATTTTCTGAAACGGATTTGGTCCAAAGAAACTTGGGGTCTATAACCAATATTTCGATAAGGCACATTTTCACCGTGTTAAATTGTATACACCCTTATTAGCCATAAAGCAGAGGGTATAATTATCCATTAAAAATTTCTGAAATTTGTATTATGGTTTACATAATCCCTTTTTAGAAATGTCGGTATAGGTCCACTTTTTCGTATGTTCCCTATTTTTTTCATTTCTAGTACATGTCAGTACATCTATGGCGGAGGGTATCCAAAGTTCGGCCCGGCCGAACTTAACGCTTTTTCACTTGTTTATACTAAAATAGTTATCTGATTTGTTTCGCGTTTTGAGTTTGGTTCTAAGACTGTGTTGGAATCATTTCACCTGCGGAGGATAGCGAGATAAAAAAAATTAGAACATAGGGTCGATAAAGAATTATAGCCGCATTTAGACCTACACCCTGTGTGGGTGGTACCAGAAGAAGTGAACTGATATTCCCCATCTTCGAACTTGAACTAAGTTTGGAAGAAATAATAAGATAGGCAAAGTTTGGATGAAATCAAAATTTTCTGAAACAAATTCGGTCCAAAGGGACATGGGGTCTAGAATCGTTATTTCGATGAGGCACATTTTCACTGTATCACAGTGTATACACCCTCATTAGCCATAAGGCCGAGAGTATAAATATCCATTATAAATTGCTGAAATTTGTATTATGGTTTACATAATAGTTTTGTAGAAATGTCGGTATAGGTCCACTTTTTTGTTTTTTCCATATATTTTCATTTCAAGTACCTGTCAGTATATCTATGGTGGAGGGTATCCAAAGTTCGGCCTGGCTGAACTTAACGCTTTTTCACTTGTTCTACATTACCACCATCACGGCTTCCACCCAACTTATTATTTATTACCAATATTTTAAGATTTCGACAAGAACACTTCATTTTATAGACATGAATTTAAATTATATGCAATATGTTCATATTTCGCGAGTTATAAGCTTGCAAGGAATTTAAAAGATTTTTGTAATTTCCCATATATATTTGCAAAGATTTAAAGTCCCTGTCATTCGCATCAATCGAACAAACATGAGTTCTTGGGTATATCATTCACGTTAAGCTTCGAAGGACGTACCAAATTTCATGTCACTTCGCTATACACAATTCCTTGTCAATCTGACAAACGGTGGGACTTTGGTGCACCATCATGAAATCAGACCATAATATCTAAATTAAATATCATCAATTTCAAACGGCTTCGTCCTTGGGCCAAGCAAATGAGACTTGCCAAATTGGCTAAAAAAGATCAAAGATCAAGAATATGAATCTTGTTTCCTTGTGTGTATTACTAACATATGCACAAGAACTCGACATAACAAGTAAAGAGAGAACCAAAGTCAGATGGGGTCAACTACATCGTACACTACTTTGGTTATATACATGAGAACCTTATACATGAATAAATCCTCCACCAATCGAGATATGTTGCTGAGATTTTGCAAAAACTAAGCCTATATCTGTGGTGGGTACCAGAAAGAGCACCAAGTGCAGAGCTACCAGAAAAAGTGGACCAATATTTATAATTTTTAGTGGAGAGGTTTGGTACTCAATAGGAACCCATTGTACCAAATTTAAGGGAATTCGGTTGAAAAACGCTCTTAAGAATCTCCAAATACAAATGGGGGTAACCTCATAATTGGGCTATGCCTAAACGTGGACCGATGGATTTGATTTTTCAGATACTCGACATGGTGTAGAAAAACTCAGCTTATGCTGTGGTTACCGGTATCGTTATAAAGATATTTATAATATATTTGTTATAATAATTATTTGTAACAATATATTTATATTTGGAAATAGATTTTCGTCACATTCTACAACTACATCAAGTGGGTGGTCGGGGATCCCCAAATTCAGTTTCAGATATTTTTTTTCATAAAATTGTATGATTTCTTTAAAATCTATACATTGAAAATTTACAATTCTTGATAATGTTTTATATATTTTTTTCATTTTCCAGAAATCTGCTTGTCATATTTGCAATTAGTTCATGGGACAAAAAATGTAGTTCTATAAAAATACTCGGAGGTCGAACTCATTACATTTGACCTGTACTTTTGCGTACCTTCTTGGCACTGAAACTTCTACTTCTTAGAAATAAATCAAAATTGAATGTTACCAATTTCCCCTATTTCTTCCAACGATTGTACTATCCCTTCTATAGATTCTATACAAATATTTATACGCAATGATCGTGTTTCACAATATGAATGTAGTCGTCTGAAAGATTTACTTGCTTCTCGAAATATTCTACATTAAATAGCAGAGTTTTTTTTTATTTTATAAAGAATGTATTTGCTTCTCGAAATATTCTACATACATTTTTTCATTTTCTCATTCCTGATCATATCCTTGACCTCTCAAAAATTTTGAATCCAAACCCAAACTGATTTCTATATTTATTATGACGGCCGAAAAATCCTTTTCTGTTAATCATTCTAATTCCACGTAGCAAAGTAAACATTCTTTGACTTCTTTAGATACCATGTCAAAAATCTTACACATATATAGTTTCATTCTCTAAAACCGAAAAGAATAAAACACTTTTCACTTCGTTAACAATAGACTTTTGGATGTATTCTCCAATTAGTTCTATTAACTCGTTCTGTATTGTGGGACTCGGGTATGTTCAATTTTTGAGTGTACTCTCCAAATATTTTCTAAGTTTAAGTCTAACGAAGGCTTTACTTCCCATCAAGGCGATGTCTTCCCTTTCACACAATAAAATTGTCTCAGTGGTCACTTCAACTTTAGAGTTTAGTCCTTTCAATATATAGAGGAATCTTGTTTATCCATAACAGGTTCTATACCCTTTGAAAAATTTTTCTCAATATAAAGTCCTGAGTCCTCATGCGGATGCGACAGAAGTAATTTTGGAACTTGTTGGTTGGCCTTCTTTATTTGAAAATAAGATGCCGACTGTACAAAAAGCTCCTTTAGCTAAATCTGAATATGCGATACAAGAAACCATGTGGCCCGGTCGGCTCGGGTATGATTAAAGTGAAAAACTACCCAATTCGAACCCTTTTGCACGTATAAGAAAAAATTAAAATATTAAGCTTGCTCCCCCTTACGTACTTTCATGGTTTGTTCCATTTTTCCGTCTTCTGAATGTTTCAGATGCAGTTTCTATCCGGGGCTTTAGATCGTAAAAAGTATGCATGTAGAAATTTGTGACATTTCTAATCTGGCATTCCTGGTTCCTGGTGAATCAAAAACATCGATCCAGAACATGTTCTATGTCGATAACACTCATATGAAGGTCTCGTCCCATTTCCAGTATATTTAACTTCGCAAACATCGATAAGATTGGATTGAAAGCACCTTACTATCGCTCTATTTTTCAATTATGGGCTTTTGTTATCTCTTCTGTAAAACTTTGGCCGGTCGTTACAAATGAAATGTGAAAAAACAATAATACTAAGTAAGTCAAAGAAGGAATAAAGGAAAACGCAACTGCAAACAATAAAATCCACTCGTAGAACAAATGTGTACCGAACACATTCTGTTTCTCTCTCTTAAAAATCATAACAAAAATCTTATATTTTACTTAAGGAGGTGGGTGGGGTGCAGTAGTAGAAGTAGTGCGACCAAGTGTCCTTAAGAGAAAATACGTTCAGCAACATGCTGTGCCTTATAACCTTTTTGTTTGCAAGACAACGGCAAAAACAGAACTACCCTCCTTTTAGAGAAGAAAAATCCATTTGTGTGTGTATGAATTTCTGCTCTCAATGCAGGCGGGAAAGCAAACACTAAGCTTGGGGAGGGTGTACGCCAATATTCACACTTGTTCACCTGCGTATATTTGAGCAGCACACGCATTTTACTTTTCCAATCCTTAAGGGCGAAAAGAGAAATTGGGCAAAGAAAAATCAGAACACCCTACAAATTAGAAAGATATGATGCATTTAAGTGTTTGTATAATCGAACACACTCCTATACATCTATGCCCAGAAATGTAAAATACATCGTATGAGAATCAATCAAGAAAAACCAGGGTCTGATGTAATAAGTAAGGGGTTGCCGAAATTGACAGCCTTTATGATTGACATTCCTTATAAATATCCTCCAATTTTTGGTAGGATAGGATAGTTATTTTATGTACCTTTGGTAAAGGACATACAAATGTTGGTCCATCCCTGCTTCCTACTCAGACATTTAGACTTAAGCCTTCCAAACACCGAAAATGAGGACTATGCCAAAAAAATCTACGGGGCGTTGCAACAAAAATTAAACTCGAGCGCAGCCGAACCCCTTTATTAAACTTTATAAATTCAGCATTACTTTCGGAAACTCTTACAGACTTCTAATCTCTCCTTCTCTACTTTTCTCTCTCCCTTTCCAGTTTACCACCACCATCGACATCGACAACACCAACCAAATCATTCGATAGCAATTTTAAATTGGAACCCAATCTAAGTGCCAAAGATTTTGGTAGCAACAGTCAAACGGGTGAGAATGGCCCCAATATTAGCGCCACAACACCAGGCCCCGGCAGCAGTAAAGCACCCAGCTTGGCCGGTGATGTTGCACCACCACCAACAAAACGTAAATACCGGAAACGAGTGCAGTTCAATGATAACCTGAATGGCCTCAACAAATTGAAAAACTTTTCCAATTTTGCTTTGAAAGCTAAGAAACAATTAGCTGCAGCGGGAGCCGGAGCTGGTGCTGAGAATGCAACAGGTGATGCAGTGCCCGAAGTTTTGGATTGTCGTATTGCGGAGAAAATCAAAAGTGAAATGGAAGAAAAGTCGGCATCCAAAGAATCGCTGGCCTTGTGTTTGAAGAAAGGCGATGGCTTCGGGGATGATGAGGAGGACGACGACGAAGATGCTGGTACAGCTTCTATGACAGGGGAGACGATTGATAGTCTGAATAATGGTCCCAATGGCAATTTCCATGTACGTGTCAAGGGTAAAAAGGGTGGAGCGAAAAATATGAATCCACCACCACCTGCTTCGTATTTGGACGAATATGAAGACTGCGGTGCTGGGTTGGAGGGTAGTGATGATGACGAAGAAGATGACGAACCGGACGAAGAAACATTGGCACGAGAAATGAAAAATGAGCAGAATTTCGTCGAAGAAGAAGATGAATTGGATATAGCATTCCGTTCGCACCAGTCATGCCGAGAGTGTTCCATTGCCCATGATTATAAGGTGTGTCCGTTGCGTACGGCCATTGGTACCGTTACGGATGCTGTGGACTTGGCGGAATGGTTGGAAAGGAAAAATCTGGAAGCTTTGGCTAAACTCAAGGCGGATGCTCAACGTCAAGCCAAACAATTGCATGGAGATGATGATGAGGATATGGATGATTCGTCACAACTGTCGGAGCTTGAAACGAAACCACTGATAACATTCGCCGAAGCTTCGGTGCCTGCGGAATTTGAATTGCATAATGTGGAACCACATGTAACGGGAGTGTTTTGTCGCACTGAAGTTAGGGCCTTCACCAAATTGGGTCCACTGCGTGGACAATCAGTACAGGCAACGGAAATTCGAGAGGCCAGCGATATGAAATGGATTTTTGAAATCTGCGAAGCTGGAGCTGAGAAATCGCAATTCCTGCTGTGTGATAATCCCAATTCATCGAATTGGTTGCGTTACATACGACCTGCACCAACCTACGAGGAGCGGAATGTTAATTTGGTCTTTATAGAGTCGCAGGCATATTTTGTCACCTGTAGAGATTTGAAAAATGGCATGGAACTGTTGTACTGGAGTGATGACTGCAATACCATGTGGCGTAAGAAACATTGGTCGGAGAAGACAAGTAAGTGGCTATATGACACCTATATGGATTTTAAAATATTTAAAATTTTCTTTCTTCCTCTCCCTTTCAGATTGTGGTGGCTGCAATTTGAAATTTGATCATCCGCTCTACTATCGCACCCATTGTTCGATATTCCACGACCCGACAATGAGCTTGACAATACGCAAATATCATTGCAAAGTTTGCGGTGAAGCCGTTCTCGGTAAAGACAACATCATGAAACACGCCGCCGAAAAACACGATGGCAAGGGGGCACATCAGTGCCAATTCTGCAACAAGTTCTTTTTACGCATCAGCTATTTGGATATGCATCGAACCTATGGCTGTGTGGCCAATCCGAATCGTACACGGCCTATTTGTGATTTTTGCGGTCGCAAATTCTATCGACCGCAAAAACTCAAAGCCCATATCCGACGAATGCACAGTGGTAAGATTTTAAGAGCAACATTGCAATTTGTTCGTCATCTAAACGCATCATCAATAAGAAAATCTGCAACAACAACAACAAGAATAACCAGCAACTACTACTACTCACAATTTGTATAACAAGAACAATTACAGCAACAACTCTATGAATATTATTGTATGTATGATTGTATGACGCACGCACAGCATAAATTCAGCATTAAATTGTAGTTAATGAGATATCGAATGCATTCTGAATGACCACGCACCGAACCACTTATGAATATGTAGTTGTAATAGATGAGTTCATTTTTGGGAATAGAATATATTGAATATATGTGTGTGTATGTGAGTATATCTTAGATTATGAAAATGTGATCGTTGACGTTATATATATATATATTGTCCGAAATATTCACCGGAGAATCCTAAATATATATTTTTATCAGAATAAAATTCTTTGCCATGTCCGTCTGCTTGCTTAAATCACAAAACAACTTTTTATGTATTTCCTTGTATTGAAAATTAGGATATATGGGCACACGGTTTTGTATAGGCCCCATATTTTCTGTATTTTGAAGTCACCGAAGTGGCTTTAATTTGACTTTCCTGTTTCCTGGAGGGTGCGGAACATTTTCAATATGGATCCATAAAAGTTCCGTCCAATGGCGCATTTTCCGAACCGAAATAACTATACTTTGCATTCTGAATTGTTGGTGTGCAACAAAAAATCTTAGCCAGAAATGTTTAATACACTTATACATTTTGTTGTAGTCCGCCAATTTTTTAGAGTTTTGACGGCCTTTAATTTGGCATCCCGGCTTCATGTATGACGAAAAACTTCCTTATAGAAAAATGTCCAATATAAATATGAGTATGAATATACTCCTGGCGCATTTTCAAGCCAAAAAAACTTGCAATATATATACGTCCATGTTTAGGTATTTTGATAGTTCCGAGCCATTTTACAATCGAAGAGGCTGTAATGTAATATTAAGGTTTCTTGGGAGGCAACCAATTTACTATATTTAGCCAAGTTAGGGCATGGCCTACATATAAGCAACCTGACCTACGGCATAGCACTTTATATGCGATGGGAAGTAGTCTTATTCCTCTATAGATGGCACATATCGTCTTGTCTCCTTTTTTGCACGGGACGCAGGATGCTGAGGTTCCAATCATTGGGCATGCATTCCTCTAGCCAAATTGTACTAATCACCAGCAGATGCCCCTGGCCAGCATCTGACCACCAATCTTGAATTGTTTGGCTGGCAACCCATCGCCTCCTGCTACTTTATTGTTCTTCTGCTGATTAATTGCTATTCTCACCTCATATTAGCTGGGTGGTATACACTCTACACCGTCATATCTTATTGGTTGTGGGGTATCTTCTTCACCGTCATTGTTTGATACCAAAAGCTTTACAAAATGCTCCTTCCAAATCCTCAACACGATGTCTGTATCTATCACCAGGTTTCCTTCTTCATCTCTACAGGAGGATGTGCCTGCACCAAAGCCTTCGGTTTGGTGTTTTACTTGTTGGTAAAATTTCCGGACTTCGTTCTGACTCCTGTACATCTCGATTTGCCCACGCTCACGTTTTTCTTGTTCTTTCTTCTTTTTTCTGAAAATACGTTCCTCCTCTCTCCTTTTCTCCCGATAATTCTCCATCACGTTACGTGTTGCTACTGTCTGCAGGGTTGCCCTATACGCTGCGTTTTTCTCATCAGTAGCATTACGACACTCCTGATCGTACCATGGGTTTCATGGTGGTGGTTTTGGTACCCAATTGTTCTTTTTGCTGCAGTTTGTAGGAAGCAATTCTTTGCCATTGTGCTTCTATACTATTATCGGGACAAGAAGTGCTTTCTTCAAGCAGATGGGTAAGTTGAGCGGAGTAGGCCTCGGCTACCTATTGTTATTGCAGCTTTTCGACGTCGAATTTCCGTGTTGTATTATATCGCATCTTTGCTGCAACATTAAGACGAGTGCGTAGCGGATCGATCAGACATCTAAAACACTGGATACTTGATCAGGAGAGATCCAGGTGGTCTTGTGTATATCGAGATGCTTGAATCTGGTGCTACTACCTACCATGTTTTTTGCTGCCGCGAAGTCAATCAACCTCATGCCGTTGTCGGATGTTTCCTTATGAAGGCTGAATTTTCCGACCGTGGGACCAAAGATATTTTCCCTTCCGATTTTTGCATTAAAATCTCCTAGAATTTTAATGTCATGGCTAGGGCAGCGGTCATATGCAGCTTCTAGGCGCTCGTAAAAAATATCTTTGGTCTGTTCATCTTTATCTTCGGTCGGAGCATGGGCCAAATAAGACTGATGTAAAAAAACTTCGCTGCTATACGGATTATAGCAATTCCCTCATCTACTGGAGTCAATCAGGAGACTACAGTAGATGCATATTCCAAGTGCAGATCGTAGTCCTTTATTCATCTGCGGGGGTCATCAACATTAGGAGGGGTTTTCCGTGTGTGGGCAACTAACCCGACGCCTCAACTCATTTTTTATAGTTCTTATGGGTGAACTCGCGCACATATCAGCTCACTATTTCCTCGGGTGATGAAGGAAATAGCTACCCCAGTTGACACAGGAGGGATGTCAAGGTCCAAAAGTGAGATGAAAGAGGGACCAAGATAAGCATGGGCTTCGCCATACTAAAACCAATCAGAGCCGTTGCTTGGTATATATCATCCCCTACGCCACCCCTTACAAATACCCTTTCCTAAATATTAAAACTAATATGGAATATAAAATTCTTGGAAATAATTTAAACCAATCAAGACTCATTCCTACCGAAACAATGATATCAAATTACATACGGTCTATTGTAGAAGGGTGTGTGTGTTTATTCAAATTTGTAATTAAGTAATTTGCAAATGTTCGTAATAAGAATAACAATTATTGCATTTGTGTCTGTGTGTGCGTATGCGTTTAAATGAATATGAAATATTGGCGTTGCTGTAATTTAATACAATAATATTCATTGATATTTATTTCTGTATATATGTATGTGTGTATTTGTACTAATAACTAACTTGTAAATTAATATTAGTATTTACTATTATTACTAACTAAATAACTAAACTAACTAACAATTGATAAGCCATTGATAACCACCATTCATTGATAACTCATTTAGAAAAAAAGAAAAACATTGGCATATCCATTCAGTCATTCATCCATTCATTTAGACAATTCGGCATTAATTAATTGCAATCATTTCATTTAGTACACACTAACACAATGACCGTTATAATTTTTTTTTATATTAATTCATATTTTGTTGTTGTTTTTATTTAAGGGTATATTGACATTAGTTTTTATTAATTTGTATACACTCAGCATTATGTATTTTAATTTGTGCTATTTGTTTTTCAATTTAATTTATTTAAATTAATTATATGTTTAGAATATTTAATAGCCCACATTTAATTGGAAATAACAAGACATTTGTCAAATTTAGCAATACTCATTGTCGTAGATATTTTAAAGGTTTTAGCTTCAGTTCCTAGTATATTCTCAGTGGACAGAAATATTCAGGAAAGGCCTCATATAATTTTGCCGCCCTAAATGCCATGTCGCGATAGAACCCTATTTAGAATTAAATATACACGCTAAATGCCGAAAATTGTCCATATAGATCCCTGTTCTGTATGTGATGTGATATCTACATATCGAAGCTTCCCTATTTTAACCAGCAACGTACACAGGATTTCATTTCGGGGGGGGGGCCCGGTAGTACAAAATGAAACCAGTAAGGAAAGTAGCAAAGTCGGACTGGGCCGACTATATGATACCCTTCACCACTATATGTGTATTGTATATATGTATCCTAACAATTTCATGTCATGTCAACCTATGCTAAATTTAATTTCAATCAGATTTAAGGAAATAAATCGATTTCCAAAATGATACACGCGACTCAGTATGCCGCACTGTTAAAAATATTATCTCAATCAGACACCCGTTCGAAATATATATGCTACGTTGTGCAAAATTTCGTGGCAATCGGACAAACATTAGGAGTTTGGTGCACCATTTACTAAAATATATATGTGGGACCTATGTCTAAATTTGAACCGATATTCTCGAAACTTAACACTTCTCATTCTAGACTCAATTTAGTACGCTATGCCAAACATGGTGGAAATCCAAAGATATATAGGGATTTAGGTGCAACATTTACATTCAAATCGGACGAAAATATATACGTGAGCTATATTAAAATCTGAACCGATTTTCAGGTTCATCATCATTCATCATTCTAGACTTAACATAGTAGACCATGCAAGTTTCGTGAAATCGAAAGATATATAGGGACTTTGGTGCACCATTTACGTAAAATCGGACAAAACTATATTTGGGAGCTATATCTAAATCTGAACCGATTTTCAGGAAACTTAACATATGTAATTCTAGACTCAACTCCGTGCGCTATACCAAATTTCGTGCAAATCTAAAGATATATAAGGACTTTGATGCACCATTTACCTTAAATCGGACGAAAATATATATGAGAGCTATATCTAAATCTGAACCGATTTTCTCGAAACTTAACACACATCATTTTAGGGTTAATTCAGTACTCTATGCCAAATTTCGTGCAAATCGAGAGATATATAGGGACTTTGGTGCCTATATCGGACGAAAATATATATGGGAGCTATATCTAAATCTGAACAGATTTTCACCAATTTCAATGGGGCTCGTCCTTGGGCCAAAAAAGTGAGCTTTGCCAAATTTCAACCAAATCGGATCATAAATGCGACCTGTACTTTGTTTACAATTTAACATCTACAGACGGGTGGACGGGCGGACGGACGGACGGACATGCATAAATTGACTCAGAAAGTGATTCTATGCATATTCTCAAAAGGAACCATGTGTCTATCTCGTTTCCTTTTGCCTGTTACAAACATATGCACAAAGACATAATACCCTGTACCACAGCGTGGTGAAGGGTATACAAATTCGCTGTTGCAAACATAAATTTACTGTGAAAAAAATCATTTCGGTGAAGCCGGTCCCCCCGGGCCGCCCCCCCCCCCCCCCGGGTTCTTCCCTGGTCCATTCCATATATGAATCGTTTTAGTTTTGATTTGTTTCAAAAATATTGTTAAGCGGTATTAATTTTGTTTGTGACTTTGTGCCCTTAATAGAATTTGTTTTTTAAACTTTTCTAGAAAACAAATATTTATATCAGAACCTAAAATATCAGTACCTACTTTCAAAATAAAAGACTCATATGCAGAGTCCCGATTTTCTGCATGTTAAGTGGTTATGACAAATATTTAACCCGAGTAAAAACCCCACCAGTGGGATATTTTGGTCCGATACAAACTTCGGACCATGGTTTTGTTCTGATTGTCGAAAATAGATCGATATCGGTATGCAGCAACGGAATTCTTTGAATTTCTGAAATTAACCGGTCCGAATCCTACAAATACTATACAAAAGCTATAGAGCTACCTCTAGTCACAATCGTGAAATTCAATAGTTTAATCGTCGAACTAAAGCGGAGAAAGGAGTTAGAAAATCTGAAATGTTACAAGATCCCTACGGGTTAAAATACATTGGATAAATCGCTGTCGAACCATTCAACGGCACTGAAGTGACAAATCCGAAACCGACGGTTCATAGATCAACTTACGTGCGATAGAGAACTTTATCGACATCGCCTTAAGATATGTCCTTAAAGTCAGAGATCTGACAATGAAAATCAACAGATTATTGTGAGGAAATAATCAAAAATATGGTTAGAAAATCTGAAGTATTACAACACCGGTACCAGACCCTGTAAATGGTTAGTCATAACTCTTAAACTTTGCGAAAAGGATGTTCGGACTTCTACCACAGAAAATGACACTAAAGATTCTAGATCAAAGTGGCATTCGAGATATTTCAACTGCTTAAGAAGACACGAAGATCGATACATGTATCTTCAGAGTAGCTTGGACCCAAGGAATCTCTATGGAGATCATGAAAACATTTCAAAGTTCGGAATTTATTATTAGCTCCCAATGGTAAAAAAAAAATGTTGAAAAGTGACAAGTCCGAAACCGTCGATTCATAGATCAATTTACGTGCGATAGAGAACTTAATCGACATCGCCTTAAGATATGTTTTTAAAGTCAGAGATCTAACAATAAAAGTCAACAAATTATTGGGAGGAAATAATCATAAAATATGATTAGAAAATCTGAGCAAAATCGGTACCAGACCTTGTAAATGGTTAGTCATAACTGTCGAACTTTGCGAAAAAGATGATAGGACTTCTACCACAGAAAAGGGCACTAAAGATTCTAGATCCAAATTGATATTCGAAATATTTCAACAAATGTTTGTTTAAGAAGACACGAAGATCGATACATGTATCTGCAGAGTAGCTTGGGCCAAAGAAATCTGTATGGAAATCATGAACAAATTCCCAAGTTTGGAATTTGTTATTAGATTGTTATTACTTTCAAAATAAAAGACTCATATGCAAATTCCCGATTTTCTGCATGTTAAGTGGTTATGACAAATATTTAACCCGAGTAAAAACCCCACCAGTGGAATATTTTGGTCGATAAAACTTCGGACCATGGTTTTGTTCTGATTGTCGAAAATAGATCGATATCGGTATGCAGCAACGGAATTCTTTGAATTTCGGAAATTATCCGGTCCGAATCCTACAAATACTATACAAAAGCTAAAAAGCTATAGAGGCTACCTCTTGTCAAATCGTGAAATTCAATAGTTTAATCATCGAACAGAAGCGGAGAAAGAGTTATCTGAAGAGTTGCAAGGTCCATACGGGTTAAAATCCATTGGATAATTTGCTGTTGAACCATGCATAAGCAATAAACTGGGTGCTGTCTCATTCAACAGCACTGAAATGACAAGTCCGAAACCGACAGTTCATAGATCAACTTACGTGGGATAGAGAACTTTATCGAAATCGTCTTAAGATATGTTCTTAAGGTCAGAGACATGAACCAGGTCTGACAATGAAACTAAACAGAATATTGTGAGGAAGTAATCATAAAATATGGTTAGAAAATCTGAAGTATTACAACATCGGTACCAGACCCTGTAAATGGTTAGTCATAACTCTTGAACTTTGCCAAAAGGACTATCGGACTTCTACCACAGAAAATGGCACTATGGCACATTCTAGAAAGTTATATTCGAGATATTTCAACCGCCTAAGAAGACACGAAGATCGATACATGTATCTTCAGAGTAGCTTGGATCCAAGGAATCTCTATGGAAATCATGAAAAAATTCCAAAGTTCGGAATTTGTTGTTAGCTTCCAATGGTAAAAAAGGTTGAAATATCTTTCACCGCATATTAGTCGGAGAGTTAAACACATTTAAGGGTATTCCAAGGACCTGAATTGTTTGAATTTATGTAATTATCCGGACCGAAACCTACAAAAGCTATAGACCTATTGAATCTACCTCTTTTCACAATCGTGAAATTCAATCTGAAAATCCAAAGTATTGCAAGATCCGTATGGGTTAAAATACATTGGATAAATCGCTGTTGAACCATGTATAAGCAATTAACAGGATGCTGTCTCATTCAACCACACAGAAGTGACAAGTCCGAAACCGACGGTTCAAACTTACGTATGATAGAGAACTGCAAATATCCATAACCGCATATTAGTCGGAGATTTAAACACATTTAAGGGTATTCCAATGATCTAGCCGCTGTACATTTTCTTAGATATTTCTGGACGACAGCCGGAATTCCAATGCACGTAGAGAGAAGCTGCAGATCCCCAAGGAAGTCTGTCATTCGTTATTGCTTTTCCAAACATTTCCGATACGAGGATCGTGAAAATATATGCTATGAAATCAAGAGCCACAAGCTGAACATCGGTAATCTTACATTCCTGTATAACAAGAGTGTTCAAAATTCAGACTTCCAATTACCCCACGGATCTTAGTGTCACATTCGACAGACTGCATATGTAATGAACGCTTATCACAGCTATTAAAATCATGATCAAGACAAACGGTATCCAATAGGAATCTGCAGGATTACTGATAAGTAGACATTATGGGGAAGTGATATCTTTGGATCTAGAAAACCTCTAAATTTTTGCTAGTCCACACCCTTCTGATGGTGTTGAGATAGTATTGGTATTGGCGTTGTATGCAATACACAAAAATTATAAAAATATTCGCAACGAAGTTCACGGTCCAAGCTCCAATTCAAAGCAGCATAAAACATAAACTAGATTTGTTTTGGGACAACTGAGATCAGGACGTCGCCTCAGTGCATATAGAGTGAAATGGTGACATGTCACAGACTATCACACCAATATAATTATGGGCACTTCCCAAATCTGAAAGATAACTACAACCACAACTACTAGGGACTTAATGAAGAATTCAATTTCCATTACTCCGATATTTCTATATTTTAAATTTTTAATGAAATCTCAATACCTAGAATAACTCCACGCTTCTCCCTGGTAGTAGTAGGTTAAAGCCATATTTCGCAACCAATTTGGCTTTAGATATGTTTCAAGACATGACTTTAACGGTATTTTTGTAGTTCTCTGTAGGAGGGTATATATTGTTTGCTTTCAGTTCACGTTACGCAGGATGGATCTGAGATATATTTTACGGGAATCCATATTTACATAGGTTTAGGTCCTTAAGTTTAGATTCATATTTTAATACCGCATGAAACCATTATTTATATGACATAAGAAAATTAATTATTCCCAAAAAAAACTAATATAGCTGCTGATATAATAACAAAAAAACGTCTACTAACCCTGCATTTGAAATAACTAACTGCAATGAAACTAACCCGCCTTAACAGCCTGCTCTACAACTTGATATGTCTTGGTCGTCCAAGCAGTGAATATAATTTGTTGGTGACCTTGAGCCTTGAGTTTTGAGTTGTTTTTGATTTCGTTCCACACCAAAATCACCACCACAAATCCAAAATTTCATTTTCTTCATTCCAAAATTTTCATTTTAGATATGGCTGATTCTTTACGAGATTTTCAGTGTAAATTATGTTCCAAACTTCTAGGCTCCCGAGCAGCACTGCAGCGTCACACCAAGGAGGTGCACAGTCGTAACTCGACCGTGGTCAGCTGTCCCAGATGTCAGAAGCTATTCCAGAATCGTAGCAATTTGAAGATACACATGTTGACACATTCGGGTGTGAGGCCATTTAAGTAAGTCAGGGGGAGGTTCAAAGCTTTAAAAAATATTATTTATATAATGCATATCTCATTGTTTTCCAGATGTGCCGAGCCGGAATGTAATGCCGCTTTCACCACCAAACAATGTCTGCAGTTCCACTATAAAAAGGTACACAACTATACCCAGGAACAAATGCCGAAAATTGAACGCAGTGTGGCCTATACCTTTGATGCCTATTCGGGTGGTATGAAAGTTGATTTCCTCGGTGAGTTTGGCAAGGGGAAAGCCACCACATTTACCCGCACTAACATTTTACTAACCTCAATATCCACAATCAATTTTCTTTGTAGAACAAGCCCCACGCCGAAGACGTAAAAGTTTGGAGGATCAAAATTCTGTTATGAGTTCCAGCATCCAAAGTGATGCGGAATTTTCCGATGATAACATTTTCGAGGCCATCAAAAAATCAGGCAAATCCATTAAAGATTTGTGTCGTAACGAGCCAAACCTTTCGCTGTTGTCCTCCAAAATTTCCAGTATCTTTGGTGAGAAGCCACCACCGCGTAAGCGTGGCCGTAAGCCGAAAGATTATCATCTCATGGAGCAGCAGGAGCAGGAACATTTGGAACAAATGCGACGCAAACAAAATGCTCAACTTAGTTTGGTGGAGACATTCCTGACCACCACTGCTCAACGTTTAACGGCCCAACAACAAGTACAACAAGTGGTGGCGGCTGCAGCTGCCGTCTCCGCCATGACAGGAGCGGCCAATGAAGATGCCACCAATAAAATGCATATGATGTCGGGATTGAATCCAACACATATGGGTATGGGTGCGCATCATCATTTGCAACAACAACAGCAACAGCAACACCAAGAGCAACAACAACAGCAGCACCATCATCAGCAGCAGCAACAACAACATCACGGAGGCAACATGAGCCACGACGAAGACGATGATGAGGAGGATGACGACGACGATGATCAAAGTCATCATGGCGGTCATCCGGTTGCACCCCATATGGGCCATGACAATAACGGTTATCGCCATCATCCGGGCATGAATGCCATGGGTCAAAATTTGGTTGTGAGTAAAGGCAGCAAGAAGTGGATTAGCGGTGATGATCGCCATTTGAATCGTGACTGTGCGGTGGGTGACATGTCAGCATCGGTCATGAACAGCACTGCCAATCAATGTGGCATGGCGGGAGACAATGATATGCCGTTGCCACCCTTCGCTGTGCCTCAAAGTAATGCCGATGATCCCAACAAGTTAATGGGTTCGAATCGTGACTTCTTGTCGCGACTCATTAACTCCGCTAATCCCACACATCACAATCATCACGGCTCGAATACGCGAGAGGAGGATGAGAACACATCCTTCTTGGATGTGGTGGAATCGAATAATGCAGCAGCTGCTGCCGCGGCCGCCGCCGCTGCTGCTGCAGCCAATAATCAGATGTCACAATTCCATCACCACAGTGGCCAAAATAATGAGGCGGCCAATAATGCTGCTGCCTCAGTGGCATCCAATAATGGCAATGGCACCGGTTTAACAGGTGCTGCTGGCGGCGGAGGTCACACCGGCAACAACAGTCAGGATGATACCGATCAAATGTCCATGAATTCCCTAACCCAATCCCAAGCCTTTATGAGTTCTTTTTACAACAATGCAAATGCAAGACTGAGCGGCACAGCCACCGGATCCTCTTCCTCGGCCAGTATGCTGGTAGAGGCAGCCCTCAATTCGGTCGGCAATATGATCGACAATGATAACAATGACATGAAAGTCCCCACCGAGAGTAACATCAACACCGACAGCCCCATGAGTTCGCATGTTGATGCGGAACCGAATCGGTTCGCCGGCTCCCACAACCCCATGGACAACCTGGAGAGTGAATTGAAAATGATGAAGAATCTCAATAACTTTCCGATGCAAATTCCACCACTGCCAATGTTTCCGAATGCCGGCAATAATCTCAACTCCTGTGACATATCGCCAAGTGCTTCGACACCAACGAATCCGCGTAGTAATCAAAATGATGTAGATGTAGATGCCGGGTCAACGCCCCGGGGGCAGCATATGGGCAACTCTTCAGTCAATGAGGCGGAAGCATTTCCAGCAGCGGCTCAACATCGAACACCACCAACGCCACAACCCATATCACCGGGCCGAGATTATGGAATGTTTGGTGGAGGTGGCGGGGGCAATCAGCCTGGGTCGAATGGTGGCACACCAGGTGGTCCTGGTACAGCGGGCAGCAATAGCAGTGCCAATAGTACCGGTGGTAATAGTAGTAACAACAACATATCAGCATCATCTCCTCTACCTGCCGCTTTGGTACATCGCCGTAATGCTCCGAGTGTGGGTAGTGTCTATCCCGAACATGAACTTATATCGCCGGCATCATCTCCTTCCATACCACGTTATAATTTCAATAATGGAGATGTTATGCGTCACAAACAGCGGTCGGATTCGGAAACAGATCGACGTCATGTTTTGGCAACGGGGCATCATAATCATCATCATTTGTCCAGTGATGAGGAGAATAGTATAATGCCGCAAAATAGGTGAGTACTGGGAGATCCAAGATAATTCTTCGAAAGGTTTTCATATGCGTAGACTTTTAAAATAATTTTTTCAGGGTCTATTCACCTCTGTTTAACTTCAAATACTAACTTAACCTCTTCTTTCCTTCCAGTGTCGGTCAAGATATGCGCATGAAATTCCCCCAAACCCAAATGGATTTAATGTATTCGAAATACGAAAGTCTGGCCAATCAAACAGCTTTAAAATACAACAATCAAAATATGGACTCACCGTCGGAATATCGTAATACCAATTCAGCGGCCAGTGTTGCTGCCAGCTCTAATGACATTTCCGATTTACAAGGCCTGGACATGTCATCGCGATCCAATGTCAGCGCCTCAAATTATCATCACAATTTCCAACTGCCCAGTAATAGCTCAGCTAATTTACCCGGTATTGGTCGTTATCATCATCACATCTATGATATACTCTCGGAACGAGAACAAAATCAACAATCCCAACAAAGTCAACAACATCATTCGGCGTCGACGGGTGCTTCAGCGGCTGCTCAACATCAGCAACAAGAACACCCTAGCCAATTGGCTATGCAGCAACATCAATCGGCCATGCACAGTATGCTGTCCGATCAACTGAATGAACAGGATCATGATCAGGCTACTTCGGTGGATTTAAGTCGCACCGCAAATTATGTGGTCCCATCACCACCACAATTACCCTACAATCATCCACATCATGATATGCTGCGTATGGCCTCATTGGATCTGACACCCAACACCAATATGTCGGTGGGCAACAATCGTTCGTTCCTCTCATCGCAAATGCAACATCAAAGTCGGGAAAGTTTAGAACATCATCGGTTGCTTTCAACCGTTGAACAGCATCGTATTTTGGCCGCATCAAATGCTGCCGATCAACATCGTTTGCTTGTCGATCCCACAGCTCATTTATTGATGGAACAAAACAATCGTTTATTGGGTGGACCGGATCAATCACGACTTCTCGGCGAATCTGCACAAAATCGTCATATGGCTGCCCGTGGTTTTGGTGCCTATCATCAAGTGGCATCGAGTAATTATCATCCGGGTGTTAGAGCCCCTGTGCTGCCATCAGCAAATCATCATGCTTCCAATCCTTCGAATTATCATCCATTCCCGGCCTATTATTAGTTAAGGATATAAATTCAGTTTGTCGAAAAAAATATTTACATTGAGAGGGCTTGTATAGAAAAGGGTTGCTTGGTTTTTTTCTTTGACATATTAAAGCAGATGTCGTTGCACGAGACCATATCTATGCTATCAAGATGGCGATTGACTCAAGACACCGAATTGTGTCAAAGATTTCATATCACCATGGAATTTTGCGCATGTTACGGGAATGAGTCTGTAATGATGTTTATTAAGGTTCGATCATCTCAGTTTGTTCATACATAGCTTCGGATCTAAATTATGAACGTCTGTCCGATCGATAGGTACAATAAAATGTTTCCTAAGACAAAATATATTTTCAACTGATCTCAAATAGGTTAATCACTACTGATGGTGAATCTTTTGTTTAACCGCCACCGCAAGTGGAGTGTATATAAAATTTGTCATTCCGTTTGTAACACCTCGAAATATTCATCTGAGATCTTATATATATATATATATATATATATTATGGGATTTGGGGACTTTGGACAGGCTCCCATATAGCGGTATCTCCATTGTTCGTGATTTGTGCACGTTTTTCAAACGGTTTGGGTCTAATATTGGTTTACTTACTTAGCTGGGGTCTTGTACGCAGCTTTTCTAATTTGAAAGACTTTATTTCGAAATGGTGTATTGATCTTTCCATCGAATTCATGGCATTGTCCTTCTGTGTGAACCATCAGTTGGCTTGCTTGTAAATGCCTTGTGAGCTTGGGCATCCTCATCCATTCTCACAGCATATCCTAGCTGCAGCTCGATACGTCTGACAATGTCGATGTCCGAGAAATGATGGCACCTCTCATGGTTCATTCGACGTCGATATTCACATCGACGCAGATCGGCCCATAGATCTTCTGCAAGTACCCATGCTTCAGATCCATACAACAGCACGGGTAATATCAGCGTCTTGTAGAGTGTGAGTTTGGTCTGGCGAAACGTGACCCTGCTTTTGAATTGCTTACTCAAACCATTGTAGCATATGTTGGACGACACTATCCTTCTCCGTATCTGAAAACTGATGTCATTATTTTTTATGGCGGGCCGAGGTATATAAAATCGTGGGCTACCTCAAAACTGTGTTTTCAAGTTCCACAGTTGATCCGAGTCTACTGGACGTCTTGCGCGTTGATACCATAAACTTGGTCTTCTCGACCTTTGCTGTCACCTGAATCTGTCTGAATCCTCGATTGGTGTTGAAGACCTCGGAGAGGTCCTTTCCGACTTTAACTACTGAACTTGTACCAGTTAAAGTTATCCTGCATTACCGTATTAATTTTACAAGAATGCCGGGCGCAGTCATGGCTTTAAACACCTCTTAGTGGATTGGCTTTCGAGTGCGTCTTTATGGCCGACAAAAAGGTGAAATGTATCGATGTGTCTTTCGTGTGTCTTTTCCAGGATTAGTCGCAGTGTCGATTTCCCAAATCTGAAGCCGTATTGATAAGATCCAATAATATTAGGTTGGGGAAAATAAATCCATTATTTTTATATAAACTATAGGGCATTATTTAACATGCTTCGGAATGTCCGTTTTGGGCTAACCGTTTTGTTGTATGATTTGTTGCCGTTTTAAAGCTATCTTCATAACGCCTCTCTCGAGAAGTCCTGATCTCCATTTGCAAAAAAACTCTAGTAGTCGATTCTCCTTAGATATCAGTTTTTATCATTAAAGAAATTTTGCAATACAACAAAAAGATGGTAATCGTTTGGTGCCAAGTCCGGATTATATGGCGGATGCATTAAAACTTCCCAACCAAGCTCCGGAAGATTCTGGCGAGTCACTGTAGATGTGTGTTGCCTAGCGTTGTCCACGACACCTCTCCGGTTGGCCAATTCTGGCCGTTTCTGGTCAATTGCTATCATCAAACGGTCCAGTTGTTGACAGTAGAGATCAGAATTTAGCGTTTGGCCATATGGAAGCAACTTATTATAAATAATTCCCTTCCAGTCCCACCAAATGCATAGCAGAACCTTCCTGGCTGTATGTCCTGGTTTGGCCACCATTTGAGGTGCTTCGCCGCTCTTTGACCACGATCGTTTTCCTACAGGGTTGTCGTATGTGATCCAGTTCTTATCTCCAGTCACCAAACGTTTAAGAAATGGGTATATCTCATTCCGTTTGGCCAAGGCTTCGCAGATAGAAATTCGATCGATCCTATTTATACCCTTCACCACACTGTGGTACAGGGTATTATGTCTTTGTGCATATGTTTGCAACAGGCAAAAGGAAACGAGATAGACACATGGTTCCTTTTAGGAATATGCATAGAATCACTTTCTAAGTCGATTTATGCATGTCCGTCTGTCTGTCTGTCAATGTTAAATTGTGAACAAAGTACAGGTCGCATTTATTATTCGAATTGGATGAAATTTGGCACAGCTCATTCATGTGGCCCAAGGACGATTTAAGGTAAATGGTGCACCAAAGTCCCCAAATTTATGTGAAATTGATATAGGAAAAAAATCGGTTGTAGAATGACATGTTTACTGATCCTTTAAAAATGCGACGTCTGTTAGGACGTTTATTGATGGTGGTCTTTGCAGTGCGAGTGCGAACCATTGCTGGTCGGATCGATCGAACGTCTAAAACACTGGATGAATTCCTTCCGACGGTTGGACAAAAAAAATATTTTCCCTTTCAATTTTGCATTATAATCTCCTAGTAGAATTTTTAGCGTCATGGTCAGGTCAGCGGTCATATGCTGTTTCTAGGCGCTCGCTAAAATATGTTATTGGTCTGCTAATCTTTGTCATCGGTCGGAGAATGGGCGCAAACCAAAATCCGCTCATTCTCCGAATCCGAATCCTGTTAACCAAAAATCCGCAGCCAAGTCTATTTCTCGTTTAATGGCAGCTATAATACAGGGCGTAATCATCAGATTTACTTACGCTTGTCCCTTTCCATCGCATTTCCTGTAAGCCAATAATATCGGCTTAGAACTTCTTGAGGACATCCGCCCAAGCGAAAACTGTACCTGTTCTGTACAACGTACGCACATTCTAAGGGCAGATTCACATATCGTGGTCCTTTATACGTTTGCGGTGACGTCAATATTAGGGGGGTTTGGTTTTCTTTTTCATAGCTTTTTCATAGTAGATGGGGTTTTCCAAGTGTGGGCAACTAACCCGATACCTCAACCAATTGTTTATAGTTTTTATGGATAAACTCGCAGCACATATTAGCTCACAATTTCAACGGGTGTTCAAAGTAGCTACACCTGGTTACAACTCACGGAGGTCAGTATCCACTTTTGAGATAAAAGAGAGCCGTTACTTGGTTTCTATCATCCCCTACGTCAACCAATATTGGTTTAGCCCTCAAATAAAGGTACCGAAGCCATTTTGGCATTTTGAAGGCTTCAACTGCATTTTTCCATTGATGAAACTGTACTTTGATATAAAGGGTTTTGAAGGCTGATATATGTACATATTTATATTCCCAAAATTATTTTCGAAATTGGTAAAAATAAATATGTTATTCAAAATTAATGTCTGTTCTTACAATTCTCAATGTAAATAAATTAAATATCCTTGCCCAATCTTAAATTTCTCTATCCACGATATTATAGTGCAATACTTTGTATAACTGTTAACTAATATATTTATTTAAAAAAAATAATTTTGTATTCTCTAATTTCTTAGCAATTACACTGTATTGCAATAGCAAAAAACAAGGAAAAGAAATTACACTAGTCAACAAATAATAAAACAGCAACAATGTGTTTTAAAATAATGTTTTATGTTATTATTTTTATTAGCCATAAAAATATTAAAAATAATTTAGTAAATTTTCTTAGCAAACATAAGCAAAACAAATTTTAGTTCCTCATATTTTTTCATAAGACTAGTCAACGGTTCCAAATGTGAACGGATGGCTAAAGACATGTAATAGCCGATATGTCTCTATCGATTTTCCGTTTAAACTTAGTTTTTTTTTCCTCACTGATTAAATCATTGTGTTGTGTATCAATCAAACATAGACATACATACATAGTTTATGTATTATTGTAAAATATCATATATAGAAAACAAAAAACAAAATAAATACATAAAATATTAATTTAAAATAATAATAATAATAATTATAATTTAGTAATAGCCTCTAGTAATTATAAATATTAATAATATATGTATGAATATATATTTATGTATACAAGAAAAAAAAACGAAAAACAAATTGAAAAACTAATTTATTCTTTTATAAGACAAAAAAAATTGTGCCAAGTCGTGTCGTGTCGTCGAAATGTTTTCTCTTTTCTAAATGTTGAAAAGTGTTAACATTGTATATAACAAAAAAATTATAATATTGTAAGTGTAATTAAAAAATCTATTTAGAAAATAATAATCGAAATGGAATTTATAACAGAAAAAAAAACAAATACATATATATGTTTGTCTAAAATTATTCCCTATCCACCTTCTTTAAATATCATTTATATTTAATGCTAAAATGAATTTAAAAAATTACACTGTGCTATAGCAAAGAAAAATAAAATAAATGTATAATTTGTATTCTCATAAAAGTTAATTTCAATATTTTTATAATACATGCCTAGACAGTTCTTATTTTTTCCCATAAAACAGTACGGCCCAATTTCCGGAATTTGGTGGATTTTAGACACAACTTCCCGCGATTTTATCCACAACAACAAGCCTTCATACTAAAAATTTCCAATATCGATCCACATTTTAGTATAACCCCATATAAAATACCACTGAATTGTCGGAAGTTTATTAGGTTGGGGAAAAAGAAATCCATTGTTTTATATGAACTATAGGACTTTATTTAACATGCTTCGGAATGTCCGATTTGCACCGTTTTGTTGTGTAATGCCTTTCTCATAAAAGTCCTGCGCTCTATTTGCAAAAAACTCTAGTACATAGTCGATTTTCACAATTCTCCAATTTTTTTACATTAAACGGTCCACTTGTGGACAGTAGAGATCAAAATTTAAGCGTTTGGCCATATGGAACCAACTCATAATAAATAATCCCCTTCCAG